CTCAAATTACTAAAATCAGTAATGAAAAAGGGACACCACTACTAACCTTCTAGAAATGATTAAAGGGAATATCACAAACAGCTATATGCCAACAGATTTGAAAACTTGGATGAAATGCACAAATTACTGAGACTGATTCAAGACAAAATAAAAAATCTGAACAGAACTATAAAAAGTAAAGTGATGGAACTATTAATTTTTAGACTTCCCACAAACAAAACCACAGGCCCAGATGGTTTCATTGGCAAAGTCTACCAAACTTGTAAAGAAGAATTAAGACCAACCTTCCACAAACTCTTACAGAAAACAGAAGAGGGACAGACATCTCCAACTCATTCTGGAAAGCCAGTATTACTCTGATAACAAAACCAGACACCAGATCACACATAGAAAACTTTACTGAAACACTTTCTTAATAAATTGGCAAAAATCTAAAAATTTAACAGTGTATTATGTTGGTTAGGCCACAGGAAAACAGTAACCCATAAAAAGTTAGTGGAAAGGCAAAATGGTGCAACCTCTGTGGAGGAAAAGTTTGCAATGTTAGGAAATAACATATTTACCCTAATCCCAGCAATCTCATTTCTAGGAATCTGACCTAAATATTACTGGCAAATGCAAAAGAACATGTGGCAAGACTTTTTGTTGCTGTGCTATTTGTAAGGACAGAACCACCCAAGTGTCCACTGATAAGGAACCAGTTGAGTCAGCCCTGATGCATTTCCTCAGGGATTAGGACTGCACAGCTATAAAAAGAAATGAGGGGAGTTATGTAATCTCCAGGAAAAGTAGAGACATGCAAAAAGCAAGGTGAAATGCATGTGTAAATTCTTCTACCACATAGGTGAGAATGAGGAGGCAGAAAACAAAGATGCATATACTTGCATGTAAACGGTAAAGAATAAAACAAAAATTTGCTTAGAAAAAGGTTACTTGTGGAAAGAGGACTAGGGAGAAGGATAGATATAGTAGTCAGATGGTAATATAAATGTTTTACATAATTATAACAGGAAATTAAATTTAAAAGCCAATTCCTGAAACAATGCATGGAAATTCAAAGGAAAGTCATATAAATGCACCTTACTGGAAGTCTGCCTTTAGTGTTTGTGCTACTGCTTGCTCAGACAGCTCAGACACATGATCATTCTCAGACACTAACAGCATCTCTCCATAGTTCCCATGCACTGTATCCATTGACCCTCACTGTGGATCAAGTTTGCAGAATAACCACACAGAGAAAAATTATTTTAAGTTGTTGAAAAGTCCTAATAGGATATACCCAAGGTGAAAAAGAAGAGCAAAACAATGTTTTAAACTGCTTCCAGTAATCACATTGTTTGCAGTAATAGCAGTATGTTATCCTGAACTATACTCAGGATAAACCAAAAGAGAAACTGCATTAATGTCATTAGGAATAAGGTTTTCAGCATTAACAAAGAGACACAAATATAAAGTTGAAGAGGTAAGATATTTGCATTTCGAAATTTTACTTGGAAATTATCAGTGTGAACTCATGATGCATTTTCTATAAAAATATATGTATGTACACACACACACACACACACACAACTTTGTAGTTCTGCCCCCTGAAAAGGCCTTGAAACAATTCCATTCAGAAGCAGATACTGGTTTCTGAATATTATTTCCCACAAAAAGGAACTAGGGCCCCTTGTCAAAATATCTGAGCCCAGATCTGGGGAAAGAAATGTAGAAGATGGGCTCAAAATATCTTTGCATTCCAGATAGCAAAGAAGCTCTCACAGACTCCTGGGGTGATGTCAGAAGGATTCAGGAGTCCTTGTGAAATTGACAATTCTAGCAACAGTAAAGAAAATAACCACTGTGGACTGACATGCATCAAATATGTTCAAATCCATAAATTAACACCGACACTCTGGAAAGAAGAAATGCATCTGTTGGCCGGGCGTGGTGGCTCAAGCCTATAATCCCAGCACTTTGGGAGGTCAAGGTGAGGGGATTGTCTGAGCCCACGGGTTCAAGAACAGCCTGGACAACTTGGCAATATCTCATCTCTACAATAAATCAAAAAATTAGCCAGGTGTGGTAGCACGCACCTGTAGTTCCAGCTACTTGGAAGGGTAAGGCAGAAGCATCGCCTGAACTCAGCAGGTCGACGCTGGGGTGGCTGTGAGTGTGCCACTGCACTCCAACCTGGGCAGTGGAGTGAGACTCCAACTCAAATAAATAAATAAATAAAAGAAATGCATTCACCATCTTGGAACGATGCCAAGGAACCAACTCGTCTTCTGAAAAGCAAAGCCTTTCCCTACCTCTCCTAGGTAGACTGTGCCTCAGGGTAACCAGATCTGCCCAAAGCAAGCTTCTCTTTGTAGATGAATTCCAGCTAATGAATGAAGTCAACCAAATTAGAAGATCACCATTTTGCAAGTCCTAGGTTGTCTAGATATGTAGATGTATAGATTTGCCTAGACTGTCCGGATGGCTCTAGACAATCATCGTCAAAGTCTGCTGATATCTTGAAAGTGAGACGACTGGACCTTATTTGTCTCCTGATGAAAGGACACACCACCACCATGAAACAGGCTTGTCTCAAAAACCCACCTTCAATCTGAACTGGTTTGGGGATTTAACTATTAGTCGGGAAATGCAGGGGATGAAGCAGCACAAGAAACAACATCCCTAATCCATCTCAAAGTCTACTTTGAGGGAACCCAAACCAAGACCCTAGGGCCTCCACCTAGGACATCCCCTGCCCACAGCCTGGGTCCCATGACCTTCTCGGGGCCCTGCACAGGTAAGAGCACAGTCCCAATTCCTGTTACCAACTGTGACCCTCAGCAGGCTGCTTGTTCCCTCTGAGCTTCGGTGTCCTCATTCCTCACCCAGGACAAGAGGACACCCACCCCCAAGGCTGGGTGGGGAGCCAAGGGGTTAATACTCCATAAGCAGGTGGGGACACCATAACCACTCAACACTCACCCCTGTCATTTGTGATTGCACTATTGTTATTTGCTCAGATGGCTCCATGAACGTGTAATCATTCTCCGACATCAACAGCATCTTTCCACGGTTCTCATGCCATCCAGGTGACATATACAGAGGAGGACATCTCCAAAGCATGGCATTCTGCCGGGGACCCACTCCCACCCAGGCTCCAGCTCCATGCCATCCAACTGAAATGTGATGTCAGCCACAGCTGTGAGCCTCAGGCAGATGCACTTTTACATTTTCTAGTACTCAGTCCCCAAAAGTACATAGAAACAGGTGAAAAGAATTAATAACATATTTTATTCAACTCAATACAGTAAGTCTCCCACATAGGAGCCTTCAAGTCACGGACTTTAACAATGCACACATGTGTTTTTTAAATGTATTATTTATCTCCATCAGGTGTCAGTATAGCCTGTTAAATATATACAGTACTATATAGTTGATTGTGTTAGTTGGGAGCCTAGGCTAACTTTGCTGGACTTACAGCATATTGGACTTACAAATGCACTCTCAGAACGGAACTCATTCCTGTATATCCAAAATATTTCAGTCTTCAATTAATTGTTTTCATAAGTCTTGGCAATTCATGTATATTTTGTACTCAGAGCACATCTCAATTTGGACTGGCTGCCAGCCAGTCCCACTGTGCTAGCCCCAAAGAGGAGGGGTGTCCTCTTTGGGAAGGTCCGAGCTCCCATTCTCCCTATATTATCTGACCCTGAGAAAGGGCCTACTTGTCTAGTGAAGGGCCCATTGCCTGGAGAGGCACTGACCGGTCGCCAGCTAGGTGGGGCTGGTCACTGACATTGACCACAGAGCTTCTACACTTCTCAGCCATGGCAGTGCCCACCACTGGCTCACCTTCCAGGTGGGGCCTTCCCCAGCTGCTCCCGGGTTGACTCCTCAGGCCCCGAAACACCTTGCCAGTGTCATCAGAACAGCCACTTAGCATCAACTCTTGTCCCCCAAGGACTCCTGCTAAAGCCGTGAACCTATCAGGCCTCAGGAGCCAACCACCAGTCAGCAAGAAAGAAGACCTGGGAGCCAGGCCAGGGCTGCTGCTGTGGGCACTCCAGCAAAGCACGTGGGTGTTGTGTTTCACCCTCAGGCCTTTGCTCCCCCTCTGTTGGGACAGATCTGAGAGAGGCTAATGAAACAAAAGAGAGCCTGTCCCCGGAAAATGACCTGGCCCATAGGTACCTACAGTGAGAGTTCAGAGGCTTCCTGAGCCTCCAGGTTGTCTGCCAGGCACCCGATGTGGGAACGATCCCAGGCTCAGGCTGCGTCCCGCCAGGGCTCTGCCTATGGGGTGAACACAACAGCCTGGCCAGTCCTGCTCCACCTCACAGGCTCTATTGTCAGGCCACCCACTCAGTGTCCTCATCTGTGAAGTGGGAACACCCCTAATTGTCTTTGCACCCAACCTGTCTGCGTCTCTATCAGCTCCTCTGTGAGTAGGGCGAGGTGGCCCATGCCCAGGGGACTCACACATGTGTGGGGAAGACCTACCCTCCTACAGAGACGGGGATGTAGAGGGGTTTTCCAAGGTTTGGGTTTCTTCTTCCCTGCTGGGCTCAGAAGCTCCTCGAACGCCCAAATATCCATGCAGACTGTTACAGCAAATCCAAAAAAGATCCTATCATGGTGATGTGGGGGTGACTGTGGATTCTGATCAGGCCGGCTGCTGGGGGAGAAGGGATAGTGGGGATTAGACACACCCAGAGGGGGCGAGAGTCATGTGGGGCTCACGCTGCATTTGCGGCTGGGTTTGCCTCGACCTCTGGCCCAACCTCAGATCACTTGAGGAAGGATTAGCAATAATGAGTGCCATGTGCTGCCTCCTCCCGGCTCCCTGGGGCTGAGCACTGCCCGCCTGATGAGGGGCTTCTGAAAGAACGATTATGTCCAATTGTGTCGATTATGCAAACCACGCTGACATTGCCAGCAGGGGAAGCGCTGGCTGGGTGGGAGGGGCACGTGGGGGGCCCACTTCAAAGGGACAGCTCTAGCTCCCCCACGCCTCTCAGATCCCAAGGCTGTTTTTGTGGGATTCCACATGGAGCAGCCTGGAAGCTTGGAACCCTGGCTTCCTTTTGTGGCCTGGGAGGCAGGTCACAGGGCCATTGCCTCACAGGGATCATGAGGGCCTGGGCCCAGAGGCACTCACATGCTACTCATGGGGACTGCTCCTCTTAAAGGGTGGGCCCTCCTCACCCAGCTTCCTGCCTTGGCCCGAGGAGGAGGCTGGAAGAGGCTGGGCTGTGCCCTCCCCAATCCACTGCTGCAGCAGGTAAGCGCAGGCTTGGGTAAACTCAGGTGCGGGCAAAGCACAGCTAAACCTCCTGGGCCTCTTGCTCCTCTCCTGCTGAAGCTGGCTGGACAGGGCCCTGTGGGTCTGGTATCAGCCTAGGTCTGGGCTCAGCGGAGAACGAGCAGTCTGTCAGCTGGCGGTGGAAGAGGCTCAAATGCTTTGAGCCTCCCTCAGAACCAGCTTCTAAAAGCAGGACTAGAGATTTGGTTAGAAGCCCAGGCTCCAGGGCTCGGCCTCCTTGCCTTTCATTCCTTAACTTCTTACTTTGCCTTGGGGAAAATCTACATCTTCCTTAGAATCTCAGAAAATGCTGAGGTTCTTAAAGGATGGGGTTTTATACCTGTATGTCTTTATCAGCTGATATTATCGCTGTTCATTAAAGCCTTAGGGAAGAGACTGGTTATACACTCAGGGTTGTGAAGGGAGATTAATATTCTCTCTCACTGCCAGGAGGAGCACAAATTGGTTTCCGGAAGGCAGTTCAGCAATATGAGGTGAAGCCTAGCAATTCCATATCTAGAAACTCCTCCTAGGGATGCAACCTTTACACAGCATCGTGTACTAGGGGAAACAGTGAATAGTCCAAATGCCCAGAAATAGAGGATGAGACACATAAATCATGGTCTGGCCATAAGATAAAATATAATCCAGTCACTTTGAAAATGACAGCGAGAAAGGTATAGCAACTATGTGCAGAATGATCATGTTTTTCATTATACACACATGCACAAGTTTAATCTATTCATAGAATAAAGCCTAGATACACGTCGAAATGTTACCAGTTATTTTAGGAGAAAGATCTTATGAGTGATGATGACGTTTGTTTATTGCTTTGTACATTTCTACTCGATTTTTTCTTCTTTTTCTTTAGTAACTTTCTATAACAAATATGTTTTATTTTTTACCAGAAAATATTTCCTTTTGTTTTTTTATTGTCATATAACAATTGTACATATTGGGTACATGTGATGTTTGGGGATATTATATATATAGTATGTGTGATATATATATATGTGTGATATATATATATATATATATATATATATATATATATATATAGTGTGTGTGTGTGTGTGTGCCTTTTTTATAACCTTAGCAAAAATAGTGAAGAAGGTGGGAGATAAAAAATATTTACAGGAATTACACTTAGGTTGACAAGGAGACAAGGAATAGGTACAAAAATAAAAGTGGGGAGAAAGAAGATTAGATAAATTTGCTCTGTTTGAATTAAATACTTGGGGAAGAATTAAGAAGGGATCCCAGGCTCCTTTTGAGTAGACTCGATGAATATGGGTTGATTTGGGGAAGGCATGCTTGTAGTAATGTTCTCCAAGTATCATTTTTTCAAACTATTCTAGCAGCAGTTTTAATTCATGGCATTTGCAATTATATTTGTAGCATAAATTGGCCACTCTTTGCAGTGTATTTTAGGCCTCAGAAAATGTAACTAGAAACGTCAACTCACGTTGAATGTGTTTGCTGTAATTGTTTGTTATTTATTGGTTACTTTCTAGCAGAATTTTGAAATTTTGTTTGGTTTGGCTCTGTGCATTCTCATTTATTTGCTTTGCAAAGTTGGTAAGCACAAGAAGTGAAAGACAGGCAGGCATTTTAAGTTGCTAGTCATCTTCATTCTAAACTAAGTGAAAACAAAACAGATTTCTAGCAACCTAAAATCCTCTCACTTGGTTCATTCGATGTTTTTAGAAAATCTCTTTTGCTTTGGTTGAAATGTTTGCAAGATGTCCTTGAATGTGTGTGTGTGTGTGTGTGTGTGTGTGTGTGTGTGTGTGTGTGTGTGTACATGCAGGACCTGGGAAAATGGAAGCCTTCAGTCAGAGGAATAATGGAACCCATCTGCCAAAGCTTTCTGTGACCTAGAGGTTAAAGGGAATCAACATCTTAAAATTTCCATTAAACAGACAGTAGCCAGAGACGCACTGCCCTCAGTGATGTGCAAGGGGACCTGGTCAGTCAGTACCCGTACTCCTCTTTTTCTAGCTCTAATGCTAGATTCGGCAACGGGTGAAGGAATTACTGCATCCGTTCGGAGCAGCCTGGGTCCAGGAAACAGACTGGTCTGTTACCCCAGACATTCATCACACCAGGAAAAGTTTTCCCAGGCTCCTGTGAAAAGCACCTATTAGTGTTATCTCACTGCTTAAACTGTATCTTCACCTGCTATCTAAGTAGGGGGGGTGGAGGGACGATGGGGGATGCATTTACAAGACTAGAGATGACTTTAAGAAAAATCAAGCTAAAGTCAGCCTGCAGCACTTCCTCCCCAGCGGCTGGAACCTCCCCTCCCCCACTGTCTCTGGCTCCCACCCGGGCTGCCCCCTCCAAGAAAGGAGCAAGTGCAGGCATCCCCCTCTCTCTACACAACCTATCTGTCCTGTGTCCATGTCCCCAGGGTTGATGATGCTTTGCATGCCTCGAGGTAGTGACAAAACTAGTGGCAGGTGGCCTCTCTCCATCCCTGGCTCTGCTCCAGACAGGCACTCGAACAGGCAAATTCTTCAGGCATGATGAGCCAGAAAGCATGCTGGGTTAGGGATCATGGCCACAGGGCCCTTTTCTGCTTGCTAATCATTGTAAATATGGTTGCAAAGCCATACAGAAGAACCAAGTACATGTCCTGCTGACATCCTTCTCCTAATCCCCTCTCCCCCAACTGCTGACCATGCTTCATGTGTGATGTGTATTATTCTAGTCATGTGGTGCATGATATAAAGCATGCACCACAGACATCATTTTATTTTTTTTGCACTAAGTCTTTGAAATCCTGCCAAACACCTCTTTTTCCTGCTCTCATGTTAGATGGAGTGCGTGATGGTATAGTGTCTCACTCTCAGAGCATCAGAGCATGTCTCAATTCACACTGGCCACATCTCAGGTGCTCAACAGTCACTGTGGTCTACCGTGCAGGACAGTGCGACTCTAGACATTTTCATATTAGGAAGTTTATTCTTGTACAGCTGCATCACACATGAAGATTTTATCACAACTTTATTTTCAATTCATAATAGCGAACTACCCCAAAAAATATAAAATGCTTATATTTCAGAACTTCGGAAGAGTTCAGTTTTTGTCATAGTTGTATGGTCCATGATTTGCGCATTGTAACTGACAGCCAGTTCCCAATGTAGGCTAACAAAAAATGGGAAGTTTCCAACTTTCCACTTAATTTAAAATGCACTGCAACAAGCATCCATATAGTGTTTATGTGCATGCAGAAATCTTTCCAGATAATAGAGCCATAGAATTGGGAGTCCTGGATCAACGATAGGCATGCACACTCTCTGTACTGTGATAGACACTGCCTAACTCCCCTCCAAAAACGTGCTGCCACCAACTGGCCGTGAGAGGGAAGCCAATTCATAACCAAGATGGCCACCAACTAGCCTTGGGGGTTAGACCTTATTCCCCGAGAGGTAAAAGCAAAGAGTTGGGCTGGGTGCCCTCTTCAGTTACCAAATGCTCAATTCCATGGCTCCAAAGGAGAAGATTCTAGCAGATACCCTTGGTGGATGGAGTCTTTGGTGGGTCTTTGGTGGGTGGGAGAGAGCAAATGAGCAAAACAACCGCCAGAGAGACCTTGTCTGAGGTTAGCAAAAAACACTAGAAAAGACCCAAACAGTGTTATTTGTAAAATTGCTAGTATTCCATTTTTCATTAATATGGATCATGAATTAAATGTCATCACAGCAAGAGCAGAGCAACAAGGGGGCCCTGGCCCCTGAGCTGGCAGCCTCCACCGTCAGGTTGAGCTTCGGCAAACAGCCCACCCACTCCCTCACTCCTGCTGACATGGTGGCCCCAGCAAACATCACAGTCCCTGAGGCACCAGGAACATCGGCTACTCAGATACCCACAGCTCACAGGTCTAGCACCTGAGCTCTATAACACCTTCCTGGGTCTTACAGTCCCTGAGAGAGGAAACCTGGGGACAGGGACACAGAATACCTGAAAAGGAGAGGGCGCTACCCACAGGAGATAGGCACTAAACTGCACTCTTCTAGCTCTGATAGCCAGACGAGGCACTAAGGCAATGAGGGGAGGCCCTTTGCACAGAGTCTTTCCACAGCCTTGACCTTCTGAGCAAGCTGGCCAGATGATGCCGATCAAACCATTAGCTGTCGAGGGACCCTGGGATCCTTGTGGAATCCCCAGGTTCCCAGATGATCAAGGCGGAACTGGTGACAGGGAAGGAGGGAGGTTGATTTTTGTGTGTTGATCTTGTACCCTGCACCTTTACTGAATTAGTGTATTTGCTCTAGTAGCTTTTTTGTGAATCCTTTGAAAGCTTTCCTTATCGCTTTATTTTGAGCTTTATCTGTATCCCCAAATAATATACTGTTTAACTTCATTTGCTTTTAAAGTTTAAATAAATGAAATCACATTGTATATAGCTTTGATGACTTGCTTCTTTTGCTCTGTGTTATGTTTTGAGAGTCATCCATATGATAGTTGTAGTTTGTCTGTTTCATTGCTGTATAATATTCCCCTCTGTGACTGTGGAGCAACGTTCTTCTAGATCTTACTGCAGCTGGGCATCTAGGCTGTTCTCTGCTGAGTCCTTATGGACGGTGCTACAGAGAACACACTTGTGTGGTCTCCTGGTACAAATATAGTGTACAAGTATATTTGGAGTAAGCCTCAGTGTGGAACTGCTGGGCTATGGAGAATGTGCCTGTTCTATATCCTGAGACAACGTCAAAGGGCTTTCTGTCCTCCTTAAAAGGAGGAGTTCAAAAGCAAATGGCCATTTTGGAGAAAACATTGCGGATCTGTTAAAGGAGACAGCTTTGTAAGGAAGGACAGGGCTGTGGGTGCAAATGAGGCCTGGCTGCCCAGCCTTGTGGCTGGACCGGGTTGGCGGCTCCACAGTGGCTCTCTGTCTCTGTCACTGTCTCCTCTCTTGGTGCCACTCACCACCCACAGTCCCTACCAAAGCCCTAACACCTCCACAGCCTCAG